GTTAATGATAATGGGCTCAAAAAGTTTTTGAGATAAAGGGTCGAAAATTAGAGACCTGAAGCTTCAAAATAACTATTCTGGATGTCTTCTGTGATGAATTTCAACGGAGGCAGAGCAATTTGAAAATGACCTAAAAATTTAAGGAATTTTTCTGTTCCCTTAATTTTTTTGACTAGTGTATGTTCGATGCCACCTGATCCACTCTACCTATCCTAGACCTCGTCCCAAAATTCACCACTACCATTTCCTTCTCATCCATAACCTCCTCCAGTATCGCCCCCGCCATATCTCCACTATCACAGTTCCAGCTCCTGCTTTTAGCATTAAAATCCCCTATAAAAATCCTCTTATCTCTTCTCCTCTCATTTCCGAACAGTCTCCTACCATCCTCCCTACTTATAGTCGTACCTGGTCTTCTGTATACCAACACAATCTCCAAACTTCCCCTTTCTGTTTCAATTTCTACACACATGTTTTCCCATTTGTTATCATTTTTTAAAAATATATCCGTCCTTTTTATCCTAACATTTTCTTTCACCATTATACACAAACCCCCTCCTCTATTTCCCATCTCCCCATCTTTCCTCACCACGTACCATCTGTTAAAAATAATCATCACGCGGCTCACGGTTTTTGAAAAGAGCACGCAGGAGCGTGAGAGGTCGTTGCGAACATAGGCCGTGAAGTGGGCACACGTTGTCCGTGGCTCGCTCTCTTGTCTCGGTACATAGGTAAGCGTGCAGACGTTATTATAAAATAAAATTTATTTTTGAGTTATATTGGTATTATAAATTATATTTACCAGACTAATTTTATTATGTTATCGTTTAAAATTTTTCCTTCTATTAGAATAAAGTATTTATAGTATTAAATAAACTAAAACACGTATCAATTCTTTCTTCGTAACCGTAGCCCTAACCTCCTTCGTAAATTTTGACACCATCCCGGGATTCTAAAACTATCCTCTTCCCTCAACCATGTCTCTGTTACTGCCAACAGATCCAGGTTCTCCAATAATTTTCTCACCTCCTCTCTCTTGTTCCTAATGCTCCTTGCATTCCACACTCCGCACCTCATCTCTCTTTAACATATACCTTCGCCTTCCTACCACCCATCACTCCCTTTATTCCCAGTAATATTTTCATTTTTTTTTCCATCCCTTACTCTTCGTCTTTTATCATCTCTACCCCTCCCTTCCCCTGACCGAGTGCAAACATTCCTCAACATTTTCTGCATCCGCACCCCAACCTCCTCAGCAACGCTATCCATCACAGCTCTCATACAAACACTACTCTCCTCACCCTTCCATATAGCATTCACAGTCATACGTTTCTTGCACGCTAAAAACATATTCATTGAGTATAATATAAAATGTAACAAATGTAAGTAATATATATAATGATTTCTTTAATATGTAGGTTATTGGTGGATAATAAGCAGAATCGTTTCTCTGTAATAGCAAAGATTTTATTATTTTAAACAAGATAATAATATAATAACATTCAATGCTATTATTCACACCGTTGTTTCTTGATTAATTTTCTTACATGTAATTTTATAATCCCTGTTTAGTTTTTATAATTGCACTTCGTGGCTTACATTGTCGTTCTGACGCCACCTGTCGATTCATTCGATTAGATTGTCTTGATACAGTTGGAGATCCGACTTATCGACCTATTTACGCACTAAATTTAATATAACTAAGGATGCTTTCCTTACATATATATAAAAAAATAAAATAAAATATAATATCTCACCAATATTTAAACATAGTATCAAAATATTATTCAAAAATCCGTAACGTCCTATATAAAAATAGCTATATTGCATACAAGCAGTCTTCTCCTTTTAATACTGCAGTTATTATAACTCTTACAATCTAAGTAACTCATATCAACTTTTACCATTACCCCTATATCTAACTTATAAACTAAAACCAGTCTTTTTCTCATTTTTTTTTTTTTAACTTTTTCTTTTTTCCTGTTATTAACTATACGCATTGCCTTATAAACTAATGGATTCACTCTATCTGTAAGTAGGCACCTATTCTGATGGCATAGATACCAATCTTCAAACATAAATTTAAACATAAATTATAAACGATATTAGAATCCAAGTTAAAAAAGGAACTAAAAAAGGAACTTTTTTTTTTATTTGCTTCTTAACTCTATCTCATTAGTCTTTAATTCTTCAAGCCATTTTTGATTCTCTTCAAACCCCCCCTTCGTCTCATATCCTTTATCTCTAAGTTGCACTCTTGTGAAAACACTATAACTATCACCAACCTAGCTCTCACTATCTTTGTTGCCACTTTCTCTCCCACTTTTCCCTGCTCAACCTCTCCAGTCTTTCCTCTCTTTTTTTTGCACATAAAATTTGTCTATTCACCATCTTTCTTCGTTCGATGCTTCCGTATCCTTGGTCCCTCGTGTGCTATCCTCTTCCTTCCTATAATTGTTCTCCCTTGCCCCTTCACCTTCCTTTTCCATTACTCCTGCACTTGATCTTCTAGCCCCCACTGGTTTGTTTGCTGCTATGAAGGTACCTTCCTCCCTCGCAGCCCTGAACTCCTCCATTATTCTTTCAGCTTCCTCTCTATCTTCTCTAGCTTTTTCCTCCCATAAGATCCATCCTTCAGGATTCCCTTCTCTTTTCCTCCTTTCCAGTGCCCTTTCATGTTCCCTAGACGCCCTTCGTCGTACCCTCTGGCTCGTTCTTTCATCCACATAATAATAAAAGGGAGGGGTTACTACCGCATTCCAATCTTCTTCCTCCTCTTTTTTATCCTTCCCCTGAGCCCTTTGCCTTCTTTCTTGGATTGCTTGAGCGACTTTACTTTCTATATTCTTCTCCTGGAGAAAGGCGATTAATTCATCGATTAGCCTCTCTTCTTTCTTTTTTTTTCCTTTCCTCCATCCTTCTCTTCCTCTCCTCTTCCTCTCTATTCTCTCTTCTTTTCTTCTTTTCTTGTTCCCTGGCTATCTTTTCCAGGTTTCCTTGATCCTTGGAACTCCCCGATCTCTCATCCACCATCTAGTGTGGGAAAGGAATCTTCTCTAGTACCTTATGTCTATCTATTTGCCTCTCCTTCGCCCTTTCCACCTTCTCCTTACACTCCAAACAAATATATTTATTGTTTGTTAACACTAAATCCGTTCGGGAGTTGTAGCAGGACGGTCTATCCCCAGATCTAACCTGGGTCCACCCTACTGCTCCCTCCTCTTCTTCCCTTCTTTCTTCCATTCCTGCTGGAATCATACGATTCTCCCTTGTCTTTCCCTCTGGCCTGTCTTTTCTAACCGCCTCACTATAACTCACGCTTGGTCTACTACTTCCTCTGCTTCTTCCAACTTCCTCTCGTCCCCTCCTTATCCTATCCAGTTCCCCCTGGATGGGGATTTCTTTATTCTCCCAGGTCTTTCTCCTCTCTTTTCTTATTAGCGCAGGGAACTCCCTACTCCCACCCCCTGTCAGATCATCTATACCTCCAACTCTATCGGGCTCCCTATCCCCTAGGCTTCTGGCAACGATTCCCCTGGCAGTTTCGAACTCTACGTTTCTAAATGCCATGACCTTTCTAATGGCCGCCTCCCGCTGCCAGATCCAGCACACCCTCGCCAGTGATCCGTGCTCTCCCCCACAATTAATACACCTTGCCTTCTTTTCGCACTGTCCGTGTTCCCTTTCCCCACAGTTCAGACACCTCCTTTCCGTCTCTCGGCAATTAGCTTGCAGGTGCCCATACTTTAGGCACCTGAAGCACTGCCTTACAGGCTCAACAAAAGGATCGATCTTAATACCTACGTGCCTTGGCCAATCAATAATCTAGTAGGGAGGACGCTTCCTCTAAATGTTATCATTATCGCCCGAAGGGGCTGGAAGACCACTTTTCCGTCTATTACCCTTCTTTTCTTCATACGCTCCAGCACAAAATTTCCCTGTCCTGGGGTTGCCTCCTCCTTTAATTCCTCAACTGAATCTTCCCACTCGAAGATAACACCGCGTCGATACTTCATTCTTCTTGGTAAATACACCGCTACCTGTCCCTCCTTGCTCTCGTACTTTCTCAACAGAGTATTCGCCTCTTCTTTGCTCTTGGTAGTTATCTCCGCCCTGTTGAAACCAATCATGCGTATGTTTTTAATGTTCACACCCGCGCCCTGAACGAACCTATATATTTTAATTAAATTGTTTCTTTTGGTTCTATTTTTTCCTCCCGTCTTCAAAACACAACACACCACATATTCGTCCCACGTGGCTTCCTCCTCATATACCTCTATGACCCATTCTCTTCTATCACTCTTGTTGTGTGAATTGTCTGTTTTCTTTTCGCCCTCCGTCATATTTTGGGCTTGTTCCTTCTCCCTACATTCTATGTTTTCCCTATTAACTACCTCCTCTATCCTAACTGCGTCTTCGCTTTCCTTATTTTCTAAGACCTTACATCTATCTTCCCCAATCTTACTATTATTATTATAGTTTATTACGCCACAAGCATTGTCTTTTTTACCTTTTTCCGCTTCTCTTTCCTCACTGCAAACACTATCTACTGTACTTATAATCACTACTACGCTGCTGCTCCCTACGCTTTCCACGAGGTAATGGCCGTCTTTTTGCGCGTCGTTTTCCAGTACCCCACGCTTTCGCATACCTTCCAATGGCGCTGTTGTCAGCACGCTTACCAACCTTCCTTCATCACATGACCGTGTTTCGCTATTAGAGCGTCCCTGATTGGTCATTTCACTTTCACTTGATACTACGTCACTTCCCTCCTCTTCTCTTACCCTTCTTTTCTCTTTTCTTCTTTCTTCCTCCGGGCATTCCTCCTCTTCCTCCGCCTCCCTAGATCTCTTCTTGCATTCTTCTATTTCCATCTTTTCTCCCTCCTTTCCTTTTCCTTCCCTTTCTCGCCTTTCTTCTCCCTTACATTCCCTCCTTGTAGCGTCCAAGACTGCTTTTTCTTCTCCTGCTAGATACTCTAGTGCCCACTCCTTGCGTAAACTTGTTAGCAGTGTTTCATCCACTTTTAATTCTTCTGGCTTCTCGCTCCTACATTCTTCCGTCTCCACTCCTTCAAAATCCTCGGTCTCTTCCTTCTCAGTGCTCATTCTTCTTTTCCATTTTCCCTTTTCCCTGACTCTTCTCGTCCTCTCCTCTCTACTCCTCTCCCGCTCCTCTCCTTTCACTGTCTTGTCCCTGACTATCGGCCAACCAGCGGACCCCTTTGTTCTCATACACTTATCCCTATCCCTTAGCTCGTACTTTTATCACACCTTTAATTATCAAAACCAAAACTACCTAATCCTACCAACTAATTATAATAACTTGTCCAATATTTCACCAATCAAAAACACCGAAACGAAATCAAAATCACGGAGCACGCTCAGAACACGTCTTGTCGCTACGCCGCCATCTTTCTCTCCTTGTCACCAATGTTCCTGGATATTTGTATTTCTACATTGTTGTCACCAATGTTCCTGGATATTATGTGGGGCCCGGAGTATTCTTTCTGTAGTTTATTTTTTCGTGGCGGATTAAGTAGGAAGACATTTTCGCCGGTTTGGTAGTGTACAGGTCGTATTTTCTTGTCGTAATAAAATTTTTGCCTTTGTTTAGCCTGCTGTAAATTGTTTCTGGCTGTGTTTTGAAGATTGTGTAGAGTTGTAATTAGATTGTCGACAAAATCCGGAAAGGTGCTGATGTCTTCATCGATGACGAATTTTGATGGCTGCCTCGCTTTTCTACCAAATATTAACTCATGTGGTGTAAATTTTGTTCCTTCGTGTACGCTAGTATTATAGGAAAAGAGAGCTTGAGGTAACCATTCATCCCATTGCTTTTGTTCTGTAATGTAATGTTTGAGATATTCGATTAATACATGGTGACTTCTTTCCAGTGCGCCGTTGGATTGAGGGTGAAAAGACGAAGTTCTGTATGTTTTAATTTGGAAAATTTTTGTTAATTTCCTCATTAATGAGCTAGTAAAACACGTGCCTTGATCTGTTAAAATTGCCTTTGGGCATCCGAATTTGTAGATGAAGTGGTCTGTGAAGGCTTTTGCTATTTCTTCTGTAGTGAATGAAACAAGAGGTGCTGCGACAGAATACTTTGTTAAGTTGTCTTGTATTGTTAATATGTAACTGTATCCTTTTTTGGTGAGTGGAAGTGGTCCTAAGATATCCAGAGATATTTTATCAAATGCCTCGATGGGGGTGTCAGTGATAACCATTGGTTCCTTATTTTTCATACGTACAAGCTTGTTTCGTTGGCACTCAATGCAGGTTTTAACGTAATCTACTACATCTTTTTTCATGTTTTTCCAATAATAATTATATCTTATACGATGGTAAGTTTCCTTAATTCCTTTATGACCTCCTAGTGGGATTTCGTGATTTTCTCTAATAATTTCTAATCTGTCTTGTTGCAGTGGTATTTGTATTGTTCCTGTACACAGTGTAATTTTGATATTTGTATTACTGAAGACTATGTATAAGATCTTTTTAATGTGTTTTCTGTCTGGCATGCTAATTTCCTGCATCTTCTGTTCTTGAAGTAAAAGGGAGAGAGTTTTTAAGGCTTGAGGTAATTCTTCTTTAATTGGCGCTATTACTCCTAATACTAATTGTTTTCTCAATTTAAAAAATTTCAAAAATATTTCAAAAATATTATTACTGTTCCTTTTCTTATCCACAGATGATCTTTTGTTTCTTCTACATATGTATGAGCTAGTTCTTCTGATATTACTTTTGGTTATCCTGATTTCCTAATGGTGAGTTGTCCATCTTCTTTAACTATTTTAATGGGCGTTATCGGAGCCGTTCTGGTGGGGCTTGAATCTGATTTTTCTTTTAATTTTTTAGGTCTTGAAGATTCTTCCTTAGGTGTTTCAGAAGAGGAGTCGATTTTTGGTGGATCTTTGAATATATACTTAGGGAGAATTGTTGCCTCGTCTAATTCTTCTACTTCATCTGCAATTACTATAGGATCATTTTTTCGTCTGCAATTACTATAGGATCATTTCTTCTTAAAATTAACGGTGGAGGAGTCTTTTCTTTGAATTCTGAGGGCGGTTGATGGATCTCAACTTGTACTTCCCTTTCACTTCTTTTATGTTTCTTCTTAATTCTGTGTTTTTCTTGTGATATGCTTGAACTTAAGGGCCTTTTCTTCTTGATCTTGTCTGCCAAATCGTCTTGTGAGTCGTCCGTATCGTAGTAATTAGATTCATCCGAGCTGATTTCCTTTGATGAATACTGTTTTTGTTTTTTCTTTTGTTGGAATAAATCGGTAGATGTTAATTCCCGTGGTCGAGTAGGGTACTGGTGCCATTCTTTTTTCCTCTTGATTTCTCTTGAGCTGGTCGTTGTTGATTCCCGTGGTCGCGTTTTAAATTGGTGCCATTCCTTCTTCTTTTTAATTTGTCTTGGGCTCGATGTAGTGGAACTTCTTGGACGTTTAACGTGTTGGTGCCAATATTTCGGCTTTTTCACTTCCCTACTTCTAGATGTGTTTGTTAAATGAGATTTTTTGGCATTAATTGGTAGTGTATCAATATTTTGAGTTGGGTTACGAGATAATGCATGTGTTAGAGTTTAATTTTCCGGCTTTGTATTTTACTTCATAATCGTATTCGCTTAGTTTTAGTTTCCAGCGCAACAGTCTGGATGTAGGATCGGCGACTTTGTTTATCCAAGTTAATGGTTTATGGTCTGTTATTAAAGAAAATTTTCTACCGTAGACATATGGACGAAAGTGGTTTACGGCGTAGACAATTGCCAAAAGCTCTCTCTCGGTTGCTGAATATCTTGTTTCGTCTTCGTTCAGGACTCTCGAGGCGTATAAAATTGGCTGGTCCTTTCCGATTTCTCCCTGACTAAGGATTGCTTGACTAAGGATTGCTCCTATGGCTATTCCAGATGCGTCTGTAGTTATATTAAACGGCTTTGAAAAATCCGGATATGTCAAAATTGGCTCTTTACATAAAGCATCCCTAAGGTGCGTAAAGGCGTCTTGTTGCTGCTTAGTCCATTCGAACTTTCGCTCTTTTTTTGTTAAGTTAGAGAGTGGCTTTGCAATTTTGGAGAAGTCTTTGATAAATCTTCTATAGTATCCACACAAACCCGGAAATTGTCTAATATTCTTTACCGTTTTTGGGACTGGAAACTCCTTGACTGCCTCGATTTTCCTAGGATCTGGCCTCAGTCCATTTTCATCGATTATATGTCCCAGATATGCTACTTCTTTCTTCAGGAATTTGCATTTGTCTGGTTGTAAACTAACAAGGAAACATATCGAACCGCGACACACCGATTTTAATGAAACTTATGTGAAAGATAGTTCTCAAAAAAATATTTGACACGTATTTTTTTTTAGCGGCCATCGTTCACATTGAAGCGGTGAAAATAGCCCTCGAAGTTGGGGGTTAAAACCATGTTTTTGGGAATATCTCCGGAACTAAAGAAGATAATTGAATTCTTTTTTTTGTAAACTGTTGGTCTTTAGATAGGAAATTTTTGTGCGTAAAAAAATTGTCAATGTGTTTAGTTCTAGTTTTATCTACTTTACTTTTAGAAAAATCAATTGCTGCCTTATTATCACTAAACATTTCAAAACCTGTAAAATAATACAATAAATCTAATTCCTTGAGTAACATATTGATCCACATGACTTCTTTTACTCCGTGTGACATCGACACATATTCAGCCTCCATCGTGGACGTGGCGATACATCTTTGTTTTTGCGATCTCCAGTGGACAAGATTTCCTGCAATGCGCACAATTAAGCCTGAAAAAGAATGTCTATCGCTCAAGTTACTACCCCAATCAGCATCACAAAACACTTCTATATTCCTATTGTCATCGCAGTTATACTCAATTCCATAATTTCGTGTTTTACTCAAATATCTAAATATATGCTTTACCTGAATCCAGTGTTCCTTACTTGGCTTTATATTATATTGAGATAATTTTACAACAGCAAATAATATGTCAGGTCTAGTGCATGATGCTAAATACATTAGTGAACCTATAGCTTGCTTGTATGGAATCCCAGACATCTCGTTTTCTGAATTACACAATTTTATTCCTGATTCTAACGGTGTTGCAGCGCCGCGACATTCTTCCATACCATATTTCTTTAACATTGAATCTATGTACGCCTTTTGCGTTAAGTACATATTGCCATTCGCATTTCTTTGGATTTTAACACCTAATATAAAACTAACTTCACCTGGATCCTTGATTTCGTACTTATTAGATATTGTCTTCACAATGTTGTCAATTATGCTAGTTTCAGGAGAAAATATCAAAATATCATCAACATACATTACTAATATAATGTCATTATGCAACCTATATACACAACTTGAAGTCTTTAGTCTCTGGAGTCCACAACTTATTAGAAAACTATCTAACTCGTCATTCCAATTTCTGCTAGCCTGCTTTAAACCATATATAGGACGCATTAGTCTAGCCACCTTCCCGTTCTCTTCCTCAAATAACGGAGGTAACCTCATGTAGATTTCTTCTTCCAACTTTCCATACAGAAATGCATTTTTAACGTCGATAAGTCTTGTTTTCCATTTAAAGGTCGTTGAAAGCGCCAATAAAATTCTGATCGTGGAGAAATTTGCAATTGGCGAATACGTCTCACCATAATCTTCTCCTTCCTTTTGACCAAAGCCTTGAGCATCTAGTCTTACCTTGAACCTGATTGGTTTTCCATTAGAATTAGTCTTGAGTTTAAAAACCCACTTGCATCCAATGCATTTCTTATCCTTGGGTAGGTCAGTGACAATCCAAGTTTTTCTTTCTTTTAAACTATTCATTTCTTCATTGATGGCTTCTGTTTCCAGGACTCCGCTTGAGGCGAGGATAGTGCCTCATCTACGCTATCTGGTTCCGCAATTTGTAACAAATTTACTCCAATGTCCGTTGAACCTTCATCTGTTTCATTTTGATTTTCTTGGCCATTTATGTTCAATTTAGGCTTACCCTTTCTACCATATGGATTTCTTATTTTCTTTAATGGTCTACCTCTGCGTTTATCGCTTGGAACTATTTTCTCCCCCACTATCTCTGCATCTTCCGCTTCTGCTTCGATCAAACCAGTATGCTCAGGTTGTGAACTGGGGTTGTGAACTGCTATGAGTATTTTCATTAGTATTATTAATCGTAAGGGCAACGTTGTCTTCATTTAACCACAGATCTTCTGGTGTATGCTGTATACCATTTCTTTCATCAAACCATTCAGTTGCTTTTATATTTTCATAAAATCTCACATGCTTTGTCGTAATGATGTTTCTCTTCTCTGGACACCATAGCCTATATCCGCACGTATTCGTCGCGTAACCAACTAATATACATGGCAATGCTCTACCATCTAGTTTATTCATACCTTGCATTGGCATTCTTGCATAAGCCAGACAACCAAACACCTTTAAGTGTTTTATGCTAGGTGCATGCTTGATCCATAAACCCAATGGAGTTTCATCATTAACTTTTGAATTACTCACCCGATTTCTAACATATGCGGCTGTGCTAATCGCCTCAGCCCAAAAAGTCTTTGGCAACTTCGCTGAATGTAACATGGATCTGGCTAAGTCTAACAGCGTTCGATTTGCCCGCTCTGCGACGCCATTCATTTGAGGTGTCTCTACATTGCTCCGTTCATGTTTAATTCCCAGTTGATCAAAATATTGTCTAACCTCTTTATTACAGTACTCTAGACCGTTGTCAGATCTGAATCTTAATACCTTTTTACCTGTCTGTCGTTCAAGCATCGTAATATAATTACGTATACATTCTACCGTTTGATCCTTCGACTTGATACATTGTACATGAATTCTGCGGGAATGTCGTCAATGAAGGTTATAAAGTACCTACTTCCACCTAAAAACGTCACTGACATTGGTCCACATAGGTCAGTGTGAATCAGCTCGCCGACATCCTTTGATTGTCTGATAGTTATCGGTTTGCAAGGTGCTTTAGTTTACTTTCCCACACAGCAGGCGTCACATGCTGTACTTTCAACAGCAGTATCCTCAAATCCCAACACCTTCTTCAGTTGAAAAGTTTTCTTGATGGTATCATTGTTAATATGACAAAATCTCTCATGCCAGAGCTTCTTGTGCTCAATGTTCACTGCATGCGATTCTAAATTGCTATCATTATCATTCATCATTGTTCGCACAACATACAAATCATCTTTTCTAAGTGCGAAACGTAGAACTCTTCTTGTATTTTGGTGTCTAATTATGATTATTCCATCTCTAATTAACAACTCATGACCTTTTTTCTCAATTTGTGAAACCGACAATAAATTTTTCCTTATATCTGGTACATAATATACATTATCGAGTCTTATTTTTCTTATTGAATTTTCAACACTCATATTTAACATAATACTGCCCACACCTTTGGCTTTCAATACAGCACCAGTTTTCTTCTGTGGATTTGCTGCAGTATTAACCATTTCTAAGTCCAATTCCTTAAATGTCATAAACCAGTCTTTCCTATTGCTGACATGGTGCGTGCATCCACTGTCTAGTAACCATGTCGAATCTACATTAACACTATTTAATGACAACAAAAAGGCCCCATCTGTCTTGGATCTAGTATTGGTATGCTTCACTGTGCGTTCCCTATTTACCCTGGTACGACACTGATTGGCAAAATGACTTATTTTGTTACACTTAAAACACGCAGCTTGGTTGCTTTTGTATTTACTTGTACCAGCATTATTATTATTTGAATATTTGTCATATCTCTTTGATAGACGCAATGCTTCTTTACCTGTATCAACTTGTTTATCTTTTCTGGAACAACGTCTTTCGTATTCTGCAAGAAGCACTCTACTAATTTCTGTGGAATTAAACTTATCATCAGGCAAACTAGCAAGTGACATATTCAATGTTTCATAACTTTCTGGTAAACCAGCCAACAATGCATACGCCAGGTCTTCGTCCTTAGGTTCAGCACCTGCTTCTCTTAGATTATTTGCAGCAACTTTCGCTCTCGAAACATATGAAGACATGTTTTCATTACTTTTCAATGATATTTTTAAATGATAAAATTCCTTTTTCAAAATCATAATACGTACCCTGAATTTAGGCTCATGTACCTGTTCAAGTCTTAACCAAGCTTCTCTTGCTTCATTGCAGTCTTCAATATGAATTTGCTGCTTTGCATTGACGAGCAGTCCAATCATCGCAAGGGCTCTATCGTTATTCGTAATATATTGCGTCCTTTGTTCTGCTTTTTCGGATGCTGGCCGTTCTATCTTCCCAAGAGCGTAATCTAGCAGTCCTTTTCCTTTTAGTAACCATTTCATCTCAATCTTCCATGTCCGATAATTGTTCTCTGACAATTTGGATATATGAAATTCGTTTCTTGCAATATCGGCACGCATTTTTTACACAAAGCGAACGCACGTGGTCAGATTGAGGTTAGGTCGGTAATCTACGCGCAGTGGAAGCGTGCTGGGCCCATAACCTTGTTAAACAGTAATCTCAAACATTCTGTTCATTTCACTTTATTCACAATTAATCTGTATACATAACTAAGAATTAAGAATTGTTTAGAACTAACAAGTAAACCTACCCAAGTGTCACTCTCCGATTTTTATGAAATTTGGATATGTTATTGTACATGGAATATTAGGGGACACGTATTTTTTTTAGCTGCGGTAAAACATATTTAGGGTATGAAACAACCCCCCAAAGTGTGAGAGTAAAATGGAAAAATTGCGATATTTTCGAGATCAGTGAAGCAATTTTGATGATTTTTGGTATGAAAGTATCTTTTGATAGAAGACAAAAATTGGCCTAGGTATGTTGGAAGGGGAGTGAAAATTAGGGGGTGAAGTACCCTAAAGCGACCAATTTCTTGATGCAAAAAAATCAGTCTTGATCTGATCGAAATAAAATCTATTAAAACTTCAAGAGGAAAGTTAATTAGAGAACACGTATTTTTTTTTTTTTTCTTTACATAAATATTTGGGACGTAAATAACTCCTAAATTACCGCGCTTGTTTGACACTACGCATGAAACACCTTGTCAACGTCTTTCAATAAATCGTTATCTGCCTTTCGAATTTCCTCCTCAAGTAACTTTACCGATCGGGAGCGGTTCCAACATACTATGCCCTTTCACCGCCCGCTCAGCCGCAGATCGTCCGAGACACCGGCTCGGTTTCGGCCTAGACTGACGCGCGGGAATATATGCGCTTTTCTTAAACTCTGGTAAAATTGTACGCTTCGTGTTATTGTAGGGTAACGAAATTTATTAAAATCTTTTACTTTAATTATATTAGTGTTAAAACAATATTTATTTCATCTATTACAATCGTTTTCAGTTTATTATTTACATAAAATATACCATAATAACCATAAATAAATAAACATAAAATATACCATAAATAAATAAATAAATAAATAATCCATATAACAATATTTGTTGAAAAAAGAAGTTGTTTAATATTTTTTTAAACTATGATAGCGCTCGAAACAGTCACCTTTGTGTAGTGGGACGTTGCAGTATTTACAAGCGAAACCTGTTCTACTTAGCTTTTTTTTACTTGCACAAACTCTGCATTGTCGTAGAGGTTTTTTACATTGACCGCTGGTCACTATATTTACTAGTTTATGTTTTCCGAAATTTTCCAGTCTTCCAGGATGATCAACTCGGGATGTGGTTCTTGTGGTTGTGGGTTCGGAATTAGGTAGATCCGTACCTTGTTCTTCAGTTCCGCAGTCTTCTATCAATGAAAGTGCCGCTTTGTGCAGAAAATTTTTATATGTAATCTTCTGTCCGTTCAGAGTTGTATATACTTTAAAGGAGTTAAAAAGTGCACAATTGATGAAGAACATTACGACGCGTTTCGTCCATTTTTTTGTTTTCCTAAAAATGGAGTAATAGGACAGATATTGATCTGCGCGATCTACGCCCTTCATATATTTATTATAATCTATTATTGAGATAGGCTTCTGTATGGGGCAATCTGATGTCCTGCTTCTGTTTCTAGATTCCGCCATTTGTGCTGAATGTATTGTCGATATCATGTTTACATTCCTTTTGCCATTATTCCATACTTCTAATAAAGTATGGCCATTTCTAAGAAATTGATGTTGGCCTCTTGAAAGCTTGACAGTTTGAAGTATTTGAGGAAGACTTCTGTTCTTTCGGATCGTCCCGCACACTCGCAATTTATTTTTTAAAAAAATCTTAGCTATGTTGACACTGTTATAATAATTATCTTGATATACATGGTGCCACATGTTCTTATACGGTCCAATGACCGATAACACTGTTTCTTCTATTTTTTTTCCATCAGCGGCATACACACAAAAATTGGATACGTATCCCGTACGAGCTTCAGACAGCACTCTAACCAGTATCCCATATTTTGTAATTTTTGCCGGATTATATGTTTTAATTGACAGTCTACCTCTCCACGGAATTAAACATTCATCTAGAGACAGTTGTTGATCTGATTTATATACGTTGTTAAATTTTTCCTTGAAATAATCAATGACAGGCTGAATCTTCACCAGCCTATGCGAATTGGGAGAAATATCGTTATTATTATAAAAATGCCAACTTTGCATTATTTGTAAAAATCTGTTCCTGCTCATAACCTTCGAGAAGAACGGCGTTTCTATAGATGGGTCTGTAGACCAATAATCGTAGAGAACGTCCTTCTTTACTTGTCCCATGAGAATGATCAGGCCCAAAAATTTCTTCATTTCAGTCACCGTGACGTCTTTCCATTTTTTCGTTTTTGATGTAATTTTATATTTTTCCACAATTTGATAATGATATCTATTAGACTCCTTCACGAAGTGCTCAATCAGATCTCAAAATTATACTCGTCGTTCGTTGACCATGCAACATTGTTGTCTTCAACATTATTATTCATGTCCTCGTCCTCTGAATCACTGTATATTAGCGGTATAGGACATCGCTTTCGAATGGCTATATTACTGCTATCACTTTCGTCATCAGTACTACTTGCTGAACGGCAGTCAAGACAATCTGACAGGTCGTCGAGATAAAACTCACCGAGACTATCCTTTCCATTCATTTCTAAGGGCTAAAGCTTAGAAAAAAGCACCGATTATTTGAATAAAGAATGCGAAATGCTTGCTACTTGTCAATCTGACCTAACCAAATCTAACGGAAAGATCAAAAGTCGATGACCGGTCGGTAAGCGCTGGGAAGCAAACGTCGAATAATCGATGGCCGGTCGGTAAGCGCTGGGGAGCAAACGTCGAATAATCGACGGCCGGTCGGTAAAGTGTTAAGTTCATCTAGAGTGGGCATTATTTCTCTTGACTCAATGGCTATACAGAATGTCTCATACTCAGACGGTAAGGAAGTTAACAACATTATCGGTATAACTGTTTCAGGTAATTTGATGCCTGCTTCTGTAAGTTGTTCTAAGTACCTTGTGTACAAAATCATCTACATACTGTGCCATGGTCTGGTTTCTCTCTTTTTTCATCCTATATAATTGTTTAAATAAAATGCACTGCCTCATGGGTCCCTGTGACTCATACACCTTTTTCAATGCTTCTCATGCTTCCAGTGAAGTTTCAGCCTTTTTAATGTGATTGTACTGTGTTTTCTGCAAACTCAATATAATTAAATCTAGCGCTTTTCCGTCTTTAAGTGTCCATTGAGCGGCATTGTTTTCTGTCTTAATAATCGTTCCATCTACGTAATCCCATAACTCATTGTATCGCAAAATACTTTTCATTTGAATTTTCCATGATTCATAGTTACCATCTCCTAATTTCTCGATTTGTTGCATATTTGCGATGCTCATGGCGGCACGTGGTGGCTGGTCACTCCTAACCTCACTTTTCTTTTTTTTCTTTTTTATCTATTTGCTACACTTACTTCGCTCCTGGGCCCATAACCTGTTGAGTTTGGGGATGTGGGCAGGAGAAACACAGCGATAGGAAGTATTAATAACTATATTAATATATTGGACATATTGCGTAATACAAAAGCCACGCGCGATACACAGGATTACAACGTGCTCTCGCGAACGTACCGAAAAAGGAAGGGGGGACAAAAGACGAACGCGGTTGCAGAAAAAGGACTCGCGTTACGCGGGCACTTCGAATATCTTAACAATAAAAGATATTGCTTGTAAAGATGTTTGAAATATATTTTGTGTTCTTATGTCCTGACATTAAATTAATATAGATTCTTCATCAGCTGCACAATTTCTACTATCTACTTTAACCCTTAAATGCATGATTTTCTAATTTTACCTGAAAAAAATGCTACTAGTATATTTTTATGAGTTTATTAACGAAAAATTAAGAAAATAATTATAATAAATTTTTTTCATTAAAAAAACAATGAAAAATACCCTGTTTCAATTATGCAACACTGTGCATTTGCAGGAAAAAAAATTACATGTTATGATATTTCTTAAAACAATTATTCTTTTTGTTAAAACATAAATTTATATCGCATTTCTCGCAAACAGTTTGTGTAAATCCCTTACACCCTGGAAACTTGCACCGGGTTCTTTTCTCAGTCCATTCCAGCCAATGCCCAACTTGGTCTAGCCTAACATCCTTGGGAGGCGCATATTGAGCAGGTCCTTTTCTCTTCTTTGCTTCTATTTCTTCTTGAATGTTAGATTGACTTGGGCGTCCTTTTCTATTTATATTACTATTCTGCCCAACATTGACGAGGCATATGGCAATTTCCTTCCGAAAGTCATACAGAGTCATAGTAGACTCATCTGGTTGGTTTGTATTTGGGATACGTTTGTACATAAGTCACGCATTAGCCAAGGCCATATCTATAAAATGGTAAAATAACCTCATATACCACTTTTTACTTTTTAACAGAATTTTATGTCTTGCCATTATAGCATCAAGGAGGTCGACACCTCCCATGTGCTTATTGTATTCTTTTATCATGAAGGGGCAACTAATTTCTATATTTTGTTTCATTTGTTTATGAAAGCGTGTAATTGTTGTTATCGGTTTTTGCCCAGCATATGTTGATAACGTTGACGAATAACGACGAGCTAACGTCAATACCATCTATGTTTCCAACTTGTTCGTAAGAAGTTCCCCAATCGTCGGTTTTTAATATCCTTTTCCGTTGGTAATTTGCAATTCGTAATCCTATTGCGCCTTGCGGTACCTAAACTAAGGATGCCATTCTGACCCAAATATGAGAGTAAGGGCAAGGCTGTATAATAATTATCAAAGTACAGTCTATAGTTTTCATTTTTAGGAATTATTCTAGACAAGCGTACAACAACGTTGGCAGCTGTGCCCAAATCTGGCTCATTAGCCGCAACTCTTTGATCTGTATTATTTTTCCTGACCTGTATATACTTCAAAGCGATAAGCAAATCCACTAACGCCACATAGAACGAACAATTTAAATCCCCATTTATGTGGTTTTATGGGAAGATATTGTTTCATGTAATGATGAACTTTAGTCGAACATAGTTGTTCATCGATAGATAGTCGAGATTCAAGAGGAATATTTCCGAATTTTTCATTTAGGTGATCGATTATAGGCCGCAATTTATGAAGCCTATTATGATTAGGATTTTCACGTGGCAGGTGTTTACTATTATCGTTGAAATGCAGGAACTGCTTTATTTTTTCAAATCTGTTCAGTGTCATTAAATTTCGCAGAAAATCAATGCCAATGTCATGTGCCCAATACATTCGCGTATTTGGCAGACGAACAATTGACATTTAAATAAGAATACTGACATACTTTTTTAGTTCATTGGTACTCAAACCTAAAGGTTTATTTATGTCAGTTTGTTGTGCATATAAATTCGATTCGTATACAATATTTTCTAGAAATTCTTTAGTAAAAAAGAATTGGAAACATTCGTACGGTGTAGTTTTTACCAAAATTTGAACAGGAAGCTTGTCGTTTCCATGGAAAGACATTTGTGTTTCATTTAGCTCCAAATTCTTTTTTTTCCAAGTCACAATCAATTTTTTTTTACCTTTTATCTGCTTTGTATAATTTTTCTTCCTTCTATTTTCTGTTCTTCATCTTGTTCTTCCATGTATTCCTCTTCTACCAACGGTTCTTCTATTTCTAGTTCTTCAGTATGTGGCTGGTACTCTTCTACACTGTCATCATCAGAAAATTCAGGAACATCGCTTATTTCGCTTAAATGCTCCACGAAATATTCCAATTCCTCTTGTGTTAATCTTTTCTTAGCCATGTCTTACAAATATATATAGATTAAAAAATATTCGAAAATATAAAAGTAAACCAAAAATTAATAAATGCATGATGTTGCAGAAATACACAGTTAAAAAAAAGAATCACCACATTATGTAGCATTTCTGCAACATTTGTATTTTAGGGCATAATTTCAAAAAATACACTTGCACTTTCTAACCAATATAAAAATTGTGTTCTACATATTTACTTTATTCTCCCAGAAACTAATTTATAACGGCAGTCGAAATACTCAAACACTATTATAAAAATTTGCAAACTTCAACGACATGAGTATGTCTGTGGAGTGAAGTTATCAACTAACAAAATACCTTGAAAGCGGTTGATTTAAGTTAAAACGAACAGATGACGCTATTGTGTATTTGATTGGTACGTGGCATATCTGCAACACTACTCATTGCAGGTTTCCTACATTTTGTATATAATTTATAAGATTAAAACTGGTATGTTGCATTTATACAACTATATGCATTTAAGGGTTAATATAATCAATAGAAAACAGTTTTTTAAAACTGTAATAAAATTGCACTGGTGTAGGATTAAATGAATTTCCACTTTGTTTACGTATGGTTCCAAAAAAGATTTCCAAACTGTCTTGATTTAGTCGCCTAGTTAATGAATACTGAATAGGAACTCATAATTGTTGTAAATAATTGCATAATTCTAGTATGGAATCAATTGTAATAATCCAACATTTTATTGATTTAAGGGGGGCAATACCTTTAGAATCTTAAAAAATTACAAAATTTTTTTTTTCTTTAAAATGTTAGTGTAACATCTTAAGAATATTGTCTCAAAATTTTAAAGTGAAATACAAAGCCCTTTAAAAGTTATGGCCGATTAGCGCCGCGGGTATACACGCGTTCAGTGCGGAGGACTGAAACTTTAAACGCGTTTTTCTCAAAACTACATTCTTAAAATTGGTGTGGCTGATAACTCAAAAACTAGTTTATCAATCGCGCTCAAATTTTTTGCACATATCCATGACAATACTATCTAACATATGAATCTAAATGTATGAAATAAATTGAACATTAAAGTCCTTTTTATTCCAAAACATTGCAAAAATTTTCAATAAAATTCAAAGTTTTTCTTTAAAAGCGCGCCATTTCTTCAATTTTACATATTTTGCACATTTCTGAGGTTCATCTACTAACTGTGAATGTTAGTTTTCTAAACATTGTCTGCAAACTTGCTTCAGACTAACATATCTAAAGCTAGAACCCACACCGATTCGAGAGACACGCCGAAGCACTTCCAGAAAGAATTGTCATAATTCCGGCATTTTGAAATATTTTGCAAAACAGAAAATATTCTGTAATAGGCAATGGTTATAATAAATTATACTTGAAATTTCGAAAATGCAATACAAAGGTGTCCTATACAAAAAAAATTCACAAATATCAGCTTATTTTCATCTGTCTAAAGGTATTGCCCCCCTTAATAGAATTTGTTGTATCTTTTCCAAATTACTAATTACTTTTATGCTTTGCAAAAACTTTATTGTTTTATTTAGATAAGTAACTTGCTGCTGTAAATTTTAAATTTTTCTATAAAATCTTCTGTAAAAGTAACTGCTGCAGGTATAGAATCTAAACTAACATATATATTTATACCAGCTGAAACAGAATGGCTTAATACCTGTGTTGCGTACTTCACTTTCATTTTTTCAAAATTATTTGGGTTGATATGGCTATCTGTCAATCTAGGAGCCGCTCTAAATTGTGCCTTTTTATCTATGGTATAAAAGTCTTTTATATGTTTCCAAGAAGCAATTTTATCGCCATATATGTAATTGTGTTGAAGTAAGTTATTCCTAGTTGCTCTTAACAGATGAGGTGTATCAAAAATTTAATATATTTTCTCCCCATCTATTGTAAAATATGATTTTCTATCGTGCTTTCTTATACTATGGCATTGTGGTGAGTAAGCCATCTGGTAAATATCTCGAGCGAAGTTCGACACTGTGGGGTGATAAGGGGACCTCACGCGTCACCGAAGCTCAAGCACCGCAGGACAGGGAGGAAGTCTCACGCTCAGAACATTCCTGTTATCTTCAAGTGCTGGTGACGCCAGACAGGAGGGCGGCCAGCCCCATACCGGAGCGCGCCGGCTCTCACGCTCGCGCTACCCCCACTGCGCGCCACACATCACGCGCTTTGCTCAGCGGCAGCGACCACTCATTTCGTCGCGTTCCTTGACACAGTTCGGACATTTCCGCGTTAGCTTCAGTGTAGTACTCTTGACGGAATAGGTGCTTCGACTCGGCGAGTGGTTAGGAGCGCTTAAGCAAGCGAACCCGACTAATCGTTTTGATGAGTATTAATCGTTTCGTACGAATTAATAATTTTTATAACGGTGACAGTTTTCTCGATCTTTCTGGCGCTGCCTGGCTGACGGAACCTGTAAAGTTACGCGAATTAGCGCTATAATTGCTGGTATTGGCGTGATATTTGCAGGAATGGCAGTAGGACGTTAAAACCGGTTGCATTTATTTTACTTTTGCGAATAAATTTTTCTAAATTATTTTCTTTTTAAATAAAGACTAAACGGAAGCGTGGCTGTCGCGCGGGGAAGCGTGTGAAGGCAAAACGAGTTCGTGTGTAAAAGAAATCATACCTGCAACGAGTGCTCGCGCCGGAAATAATGAATATCGACTGTGATTCGGACAAAGAAAATAGTGAACCGTGAGTGGACTTAAGTTACGATATTGTGGACAGGAATAGTGGGACCAAAGTATCCGTCCATCGCGCGTTACCGGACAAATTGCTAAGCGATTTCGAAAGTGCGAAAACGTATAGAATGTTTGTCCGTTGTTGCTGAACTATTAAGTTACACTCTAAACGAAGCGGACAAAATAGTGCCTGCGTTCGACGGGACTTCGCGGGCATGTAGCAGTCTCCATCGAAGACGAACAAATCGACAGCACGACGGAGCTCTGCAATCGACTCAAAGACAATACGTATATGAAATATGGTGAGCACATTCTTGATTTCATAAGCCGCATTAACACTATTTCTATCATGATTTTGTGTATACCTATTTCGACCAAAAGGTGTCTTCTGACACCTTTAATAATTTCCGAAACTGTTGGGATTTCAAATTATCAGTTAAATGTGGATAATTTGAGCCTAAATGTCGGTTACAAATTTTAAGGCGAAAAAATGATGAATAAATATTTTTGGGTGTTTGTAGAAAAGATTTCGTGAAAACAAAATTTTATTTGCTTCAGGATTAACAAAAATATATAATCAGAACATTTGAATGTAAGAAATCGTCGCATAGAAAGTATTTGTACAGTTATGAATAATGAAAAATAAACTATTAAAGAACAATATATTTTTTATATTTTAATAATTTGTAGGATTGTCTTTGGATTTTACAATAGTATCGAGTCTTCTTGACATGGAATTTACTAAGTTGGATGCTGCAGCCGGTTCTATCTTGTTCCACTCCTCTAACAAAGCGATTTTTAAACTTTCTTTTGATGAAATGTTATGGTTACATATTTTTTTCTCGAGATAATCCCATAGATGTTCTGTGGGATTGATATCTGGTGATTGAGGAGGCGTTTGTAAATATTTTGGTGTGTTGTATAATACCCATTGTCTTGTATTATATGCAGAATGCTTTGGATCATTATTGTGGATGAATATAAAATTGTTTTTAAGACCCATTTTATTTGCACTAGCATGAAGATGATCTTTTAAAATATCAATGTAAACTGTATGGTTCATAATATCGTCAATAAAATGTAGGGTTCTCACTCCATTTGCACTCATACAACCCCAGATTAATACAGATTCTCCTCCATGTTTTACTGTCGGTTGCAAATTTTCTTTTCTGAATTGTGTATTTTTCTTCCTCCACACTGTAAATCTTTTTTTAGAGCTAAATATTTTGAATTTGCTTTCGTCAGTAAAAATTACTTTATTCCAATATTCGATTGGTGTATTAATGTGTTGCTTCGCGAACTCTAATTTTTTCTTACGGTTATTTCGTTTACAAAATACTTTTTTTGATCTATTCAACCATAATATTCGTTACTTCTTGAATAGTCACGCACAGTACTAGCTGACACATCTGTGCCAGTGTTGTTTTTAAGTTCCGTTGCAATTTGTTGGGCAGTTATACGTGAATTTTGTTTCACTTTATGAATAATTAGTCGTCGATCATATTGTTTATCTTACGTGGACGTTCACTTCTTCCTTTATTTGAAACAGTTTTTCGTTCTCCGAATCTATCAATTATACTCTGAATGGTAGATCTTTCTCTATTCACTATGGAAGAAATTTCACTAAGTGATAAATTGATTGTGAAATCGAATAATAATTGTTCGCTCTTCTTCCGTCGTTTCGCAACTTTTACGACCCATATTGAAGTATATTATAAATTTCTAACTCATTTCTATTAGCACTCTGTACAAACTAATAACTTCTGTTTTTATTCGCCACATTCCCGAAGGTCATATTATGTTTACATCTCAAGTAAGCGAAGAAGTGGATGTGTACGAATACTTTCTGTGCGTCTATTTCTTACATTCAACTGTTCTTATTGTATATTTTTGCTAATTCTGAAGAAAATAAAATTTAGTTTTTACGAAATCTTTTCTACAAACACCCAAAAATATTTATTCATCATTTTTCCTCTTCAAATTTGTAAAATTGACATTTATGCACGACCTTTTATTTAAAATTGGTTGCTGTACGAATACACTGCTGGACAAAATTATAAGACACTCTGAAATTTATAGGTTTAGGCATTTAATATTATAGTTATGTAAAAATACATTTCATCAAATGAAAACTGTTTATTTTTTAATCACATCTTCAAAAATATTGAAAAGAATAATAACAAATTCCTAATTTATTCAAGGATATTACAATTTCGTTTGGACATAATTATAAGACACTGCATAAGAAAGAAACAAATTTTTTAAATTTCAGACAATATAAAATGTTAATAATGGATAGTGCCTTCCTTGTTTTGAACAACTTCGATCATTCGTTTCGGAAGACTTTTATATAATTTTTTTATATACTTTTGATCTATGTCAGCCCAACTTTTCAGAATTGCTGCCTTTAAATCAGAAAGGTTATTGTATTGTTTGCCACTTTCGTATATTGTTCTACTGACAAAGTTGACCCCACACATTTTCTATAATATTGAGATCCGGAGACCGTGCTGGCCAATCTAAAATTGGAATATTTTCTGTTTGAAAATAATTCTGTACGACTTTGGCTGTATGAACAGGTGCATTGTCCTGCTGAAATATAAAATTTTCCCCAGCAACTCTGCGAGCATGATTTCTAATTTGCTGTTTTATCAGTTTTATGTAACCACTATTTTTGAGTCTAGTATTAATGAACTTAAGGGGGAACACCACTGTGACCTACCACTTTCAAGTGCTTAGTTTGGTATGTTTTTTTGAGGAATGGGTTGGGTTTAGACATAAAAAAACTTTTAGACTATATTTGGCATATATTGCAGTAAACAAAAAAATTTTTTTGTGTAATAAAAGATACAAAATGGCGGCGCAAGAGTAGCTTGAGTACTAGTGATTTTCACCCGAGTCGCTCCACTGCACGCAGTAGAAGTGTCCTGAATTTGATCCTGGAACAAAAAATAAAAGTTTTTCATAAAATATATTAGTTTTTGGATCGAAGTACCTGGGGAAATAAAGAAATTAAAAAAAAAAAAAAAAATAGAGAAGTTTGAAAAAAAAGTTATATTTTTTTACCATAATTTTCGTATAAAAAGTTAAATATCTTTTTTAATTTTTAATGAATCAAAAAAAACTCAGGTACTTCGACGTTAAATCTATATAAGAAGCTACAGTTAAAATTTCAAGTCGATTGAACAAAAATTGATTGAGTTCTACTGCGTGCAGATTTCAAAAACACGGTTTCGAGAAAAACGCGTTTAAAGTTTTTGGTATCAATAACTTCTCAATAACTTTAGACATTTTTTACATACCACTAATCAGCAATGCCAGCCCCATACAGTTGCCCTTCTGTGTTGATATACGCTTTGTTTCTGGTGTCACGTCCTGGCGTGATACAGATTATGCGGAATAAATCTTGTGGGATTAGAAACGAATTTTTGCAGGCTTTTGGTCACGCGGCACTTTCGTCCGTCGTTCCGACCAGGACTCCGGGGAAGAAAATTTATTTAACGGAAAATTTTGCGCCGCTGTGAGCGTTTTCACACGATAACAATTGTATCTGGGGTCCAGTGGAGGAATATTTTCTAACGGCGGATATGTCGCCTTGAAATCGATGCGATGAAGATTCCAGGAATCGACAGACTCTGTGACGACTGTCGAAGAAATTTGTTTATGTTCCGTAGCGACCACGTTGGAGAGCGTCGACGAGCGGAGCGATAACGCAGGGTTCGATTTCGCCTGACGCGGCTTGTTGTCCGGACGAATGAATCTGATATTATTTACTTCGCGCAGCTGCGTCTCGCTGATTATTTTAGGTGTATTCGAAGTACCGAGAATTTCTATCTCTCCCGCGGCTGAATTTATAATTAATTTGAATCACCGGAAAGAAAACCGTACTCGTACAAAATGTAAAATAGGATAAAATAAGTTGTAATCCACTATTGCTCAATCGACTAACAAATCCTATTACTGGGTCGACCGCGTAACCCGCGTTTATGACCCTCAGGTAGTTGAGAGGACAAGGGCAATGTGCGGCGCGTCCAGTCACCAGAGCCCTTGTTTGGGTGCAAGGATAGAAGCGTGCGGCTCGTCCAGACACCACTTCGGATATTTTAGGAAACAATGGAAAGTCGTCGGCGTGCGGCGCGTCCAGACACCACCGAGACGTTTGTCAAGGAGAGGATTGATCTATGAAAACAGAGCCGAGAGTCGCAAACACGTATTTGGTTCTCCGCGTTCCTGGTTTAACAAGCTTGACTCTATCTAATTATCCACCTTATTTTACCCTTTAAGATGAGCAATGATTCGCGAACCGAATTGCAGAAAACTCGAAATGAATGCAACTAGACAAAATCATTTGACGGAAGATTTAGAAAACCGTAATGGCTAAAACGCGAGATGAAGGATGTGAAATAAGTAGGAGAAATTCCAATTTACAATATATATATCGGAAAAATAATACAAGTACACAAAATCAACTAAATCTAAGGTCGCACGGTAACGCAATGATAGTTCTAAGTACAAAAATGAATATCGGAAAATAATTCTGAGTTCGAAGTCGGAGAACAGAAAATATTTCAAAGTGTCGCTTTATAAATTCGGAAAAATATCTAAGTTCGAATCGGAATTAATCAGAATAATTCTAAGTTCGAAATGAAATAGATCGGAATATTTCTAAGTCCGAAGTGAAATAAATCGGAATGATTCTAAGTTCGTATTGGAATAAATCGGAATAATTCTAAGTCCGTATTGGAATAAATCAGAATAATTCTAAGTTCGAATTGGAATAAAATGGATTGAGACTAAGTTCTGATCGTCGGAAAATAAAATGAGACTAAGTCCTAACTCGTCGAAAAATAAAATAGACTAAGTCCTAACTCGCCGAAAAATAAAATAGACTAAGTCCTAACTCGCCGAAAAATAAAATAGACTAAGTCCTAATCGCCGGAAAATAAAATGGACTAAGTCAGAAATGCCGGAGATGTGACCCTTTGCGCGGGTCCGGAGATGTGACCTGTCCGGAGGTCGGAATTGAAGTCCACTGACTGAGAGTGAGCTCTCTCGCGAGTCACCGTGGTTTCTCAATTGAATCGCGGTGGGAGTAGTCTCCCGAGTGGGGAGCGTTGCGCGCGGCGCGGTGACTAGATTTCCGCGGCTGGTCGCTGCCTGGTGGGGCGAATCATGCGCCGCCCATTAAAATTAGATTTTCTCTCTCTCGCGTACTTGGGATTTATCTGCAATAATAGGACTTCCTTATCCGCGGAAAGCGCAACTCTACTGGTCTTTACGCTCACGGACATTTTTGGAAGTATAACGCTCGGATTCGCATTCTTTAATTTTTCGCCGGGAATATATGTGTGACATTTTCACTCCTACCCTAAGGTGGATTATCACACGACACATCGAAATCGCAGATCCCGAGGAGAGAGACGTGAAAGAATATAATTTGATTGAATGAATGAATTTATAGAGATTGAACAAACCACGCTGCACTTTTCTAATTTTAAACTTGACTCGAACTTTTTAGAGACTCTGGAATTTCTGACATCGCATTTCACGCATTTTATAAAGATTCCGCCGAAATACAAGATATTGAATTAAACGACTAATGACTCTATATAATAAGGAAAAATACTGTAACATAAATAAACAAAATATTATCTTAAAACTAACTCAAGACGATTCGCAGATCGTCACACTGGCCTTACAAGCTGCCAAATTGCCCCTTCGAGCCTCTTTTGCCGCATTTGTCATCGAGCACTCTGCGAGAGAAATTCTTGTGGCATCACTTTCAACGCAGAAATTGTAACAATTAGGCCCGATTTTCACACCAATTGTTTCCAAAACTTGAGCAAGGGATAGCAGACCGTCGTTAAATGTCATTTTAGCAATATCAGCTGCAATATCGACCAACATTTTACCGCCAGAACTACTTTTTGGAGCGATCGCCCACACTACACTGTTGAAGCTCTCATTTCTGTTTTGAGTATATCCACCCAAACAGCGCTCAAGCAGATCATCTCTGCTAAGATCTTGATAAATCGGCAAGACTGCTTTATAAACTTGATCACATATAGCTGGTTTGTGATTGTAATTTTTTAGGTCATTTTGAGCTTTCGAGCGTTGCCAAGAGCACCAAGATTCTTCTCCGATGCTGGGGCTTGTCATTTGTCGAAATCTTATGCTTTAATGTTGCCCAAATTTCTTTTCTCATTTTTTCTACAGAATCGACATTTCTGCGAATCGCAAGGCCATAAAAAATTGTTAACTCGTCGATTAACTTTCCAGTTAACTTGCCTTTACCTCCGAGGCCTTTCGTTTTTTTTTTTTTTCATTTATCGCAATCGTGAACCCATTCTTTTTTGAACGTGGTCGACACACTCCTTTTTTTTACTCTAAAATTTGCGTATGGTTGACTTTCCACGATTCCTTTGAAGGTTTTACTGTCGCCATCGCCCACATAATTAGAATATTTAAGGCCATAAAGCTCTTTGTTACGTGCGGGAAGCGCGCGTATAAAACCTCGAAGATTTGTTTGCCCTAACAAAATTAATTGTTAACGGGACTTTATGTTTTTGTGGATCCGGAGACACGCTAGTCCCTTTCACAAGATCGCAATGTTTAGAGGAAATGACGGAGGCAATTAAAGAAATGTAAATCAAAATAATTAAAATATACAAAAGATTATATTTTGTATAATAAAATATGAAATGGTTAGAATGGTAGCGTATATGATATAATGTGAATTACAATGAATTAAACAAAAATATTGTAAATATCCGAGACGCGCAATTCGAAGATTTGAAGGAGAAGCAATTACCCAAATACAAAATAAAATTATAATCCAGTGAGGGAAATCCCAAAGTTAAATAATTAACTACTGATTTACTTGCAGAAGAATTCATAAAATAGCTGGAAGAACAAAGGAAACAACTCACCCAAAATATCTGTACTTGTATGAATTTATATTAGATATTTTTTTTTTTTTTTTTTATTTACCTCAAAAAACCAGCCAGTACAAGATTCAATATCACATAATAACGCAAATCGCTTTCGCAATAAACTAATTTTCTATCAACAAACATTTATCCACATTTCAATATTATCAGTAAATATTAAAAACCCTGTGTGAGATATCTAACACACGTATATCCATTACAGAAGAGGACTGAACTGAACTAAGCGCAAGACGACAAAAGGAAAAGAAAGAACTCAACGCAAACGCACGCCTATGTTCACACTATATAAACGCCCGCCACGTTTAATTTTACTATTTTACTAACACTTCCCCTTAAAATTAAACGAACTTTATCAACGTCAAATTAAATTATAAATTCAATAACTCAATACATCTAAAATGTTTTGATACATTCAACGCTTTAGTTAAAATATCTGCAGTCATATCTTCAGATCGTAAGTAATGTAGCTGAATTTCCTTTTCCTTAAGAATCTCTCTAATAAAATGGTGTTTGATCTCTATATGTTTAGTTCTAGCGTGAAAAACAGAATTTTTAGCTAATTTAATTGCGCTCGCATTGTCATTAAAAATATTAATATCTGAAGATTCAACTATTCCTAGTTCCGAAAGAGCGTTTTTTAAGTAAACGGCTTCTTTTGCTGCCTCAGTGATTGCCATATACTCTGCTTCTGTAGTGGATAATGTTTGCGCTAACAATATTAATTGTTAACGGGACTTAATGTTTTGTGGATCCGGAGATACGCTAGTCCCATACGGGCCCTTTCACAAGATCGCAATGTTTAGAGGATATGACGGAGGCAATTAAAGAAATGTAATTCAAACTAATTAAAATATTCAAAAGATGATATTTTATCAAATATGAAATGGTTAGAATGGTAGCGTATGTAATATAATGTGAATCACAATGAACTGAACAGAAATATTGTAAATATCCGAGACGCGCAATTCGTAGATTTGAAGGAGAAACAATTACTCAAATACAAAATAAAATTATAATTCAGTGAGGGAAATCCCAAAGTTAAATAATTAACTACTGATTTACTTGCCGAAGAATTCATAAAATAGTTGGAAGAATAAAGGAAACAACTCACCGAAATATGTGTACTTGAATGAATTTAGAATTAACAACTCCCTTTGCAAAATGTGAAATGCCAACTACGCCTGGTTCCTGGGAAGAACACACACACATGAAAACGCTCCACCAATGAGAATTTTGAGCTGGCCAATTGTGAAATTCAATTAAACTATAAAATAAAATTATACTTTAAAAATTAAAAGAATAGAATTGAATATAATTAAATAGAAAAATAAAATAATTAATTGAATTGAAAATTTAATGTGATTATATAACGCGAAAGTTTTACGTGAAGATAGAGTCTTTGTCTGAATTTTGCACTTTAACAAATTCAAGAACAAACTCGTCTCTAAACCACTTCACGGACCCTCGACACGCACCTCGCGATTATACACCGAAGAGTGTCGCAACTTGCACCTCTCGGAGAAGACCAGAGTGGGCCTAGTCTGAAATTGTTTATGTTGCATTGATATGCGCCTAACGAATTAGGCTGCGAGGCCAATGCGTAAGAGACCGTGATTCGCTAATTAGGTGGCGATGGTGGATGCATGTGTTCCTCCCTTGTCCAGCTCTTATCTTTCTCTCTTCCTATATAGTTCTTTCCTTTACTCTTGAGCTATGGATTGTTAATTAGCTATTGAATAATTTTACATACATAATCAATACAGTATAAAATGTTAATCTGTACACATTATAAAAATTTAGAATGAAACATTATCTATTTCGGTATACAATTATTAACCCTTAACTAGGCGCATTAAAAAAATCACCAATTAGGCGCATGGGGTCTTGAGGGACCCCAAAAAAACATTGGGAAAGGAGTGTCAAAAAGAAATAAAACTTAATGTATTTTATAGTAATTAATATAGTTCTTTAATATAATAAACTTTAAGAAACGAAAACATAACTGGAACATTATATGTAATAAAAAAATATAAAATATATATCCTCTCTTTAAACTCATTTTTTTTGGCATGGCCGAGATCAACTTAAAAAAAATAATTAATCAGTCTCATCAGCGGATTCTTCTGTTCTGCACCCGACGCAGTAAACCCTCGAGTGTTGCTGACAAATAAATTTATGACATTTGAAGCATTTTGTTGGCACTTTTTTGTCGTCCTTTCTAGGACATGATGAACAGCGCCCGCGCTTAGCTGTCGATTGTTGTACCGTCTCGTCCACATCATGAACTTCGCGGAGCCGTTTCTTTGTTGTCGTTGGTACAGCACGTAGTTGTATGCGACGTTTTTGGTGATCTTCCACAAGTGCTGCTGCTAATTTTTTCAAAAAAATCCGTCTTGTATGTGTGATACTCTTATCAGTATTCGCTTTGTGTATGACAAATGCGTTGATGCCAGATAAGTTTATAAGATGAAAAAATACAGCCAGTGGCCATCTCTTTGTTCTTCTTCCAACATTATAATTGCTGCAAAGTTGGTCATTACAATCCACACCACCTTTGGTGCTATTGTAATAAGTAATTATTTCTGGCTTTTGAGCTCTGGCTGTTGTTTCGTCAATGGCGTTATCATTGTGCATGGTGGAAAGTAAAACAACAGCTTTCCTTGGCTTAGGAACATATGAGACTATAGTCATTTGATTATGAAATCCGAAAACTGAACTACATGTTGGTCTATTTTTGTTTGGCAAAAATTCAGTTGGGATATCAGGCTTCCTTTTATTCAATGTACCAACAAGAGTCAATTTATATTCAGGCGTTAGCAACTCCTTAGCCAGTTTTGTACTTGTGTACCAATTGTCAGTTGTTATGTTTCGACCGCTGCGTTTTATTGGTTCAACTAGACGTTTTACAATCTCATCTGGAGAATTGGATATCTGATATTCTCCATCTGGTTGTTTTCCAGAATAAACTTCAAACTTGCACAAGTAATATGTTTTCGAGTCCACCATTGCTTGAACTTTTATTCCGTACTTGTTTGGTTTATTAGGCATGTAAACCTTCCCTCTAAAGCGACCACGAAAACCAACCAACTGTTCATCGATAGTTACATTCTCGCCGGGGCAATAAGCAGATAAAAACTTACTCTCTATAATTTGACACAAATATCTTATCGCTGCCATATTATCAATTTTTAGTCTTTCCGCTCGATCTGACGTATTATCAAATCGCAGACATCTCAACAAAAATAGAAAACGTTTATAAGACATTGTTAGCCGAAACATTTCTACGCCTGATCCATCTTGTGCCCATAAATCAATAAAATTCAAGTGCGACCCTTTTAGGACTCCAGCCATAATCAGTAAGCCCAAAAATGCATTAATTTCCGTATCATCAGTAGAGGTTGCATCACGATCTCTTCCGAACTTTTCCTTTATTTTATCAATATATAAATTGGTATTTGTGACCAAAAGTTCAATAGCATCACTGTCAAAGAACAATTGGAAGCATTCAAGGGGAGATTTGGCGTTTCTTGCATACGCTTTGACTCCCGGTAAGTGAAGAATAATATTTTGTGCTCGGGTCCTTACTGCTTTCGATAATGGTACTTTAGACCATTTCACTTTCGGGCCATTTCTCTGAGTATGTCGAGATAAAAAATAGTTACCTTCCGATGGTTCAGGGATGTCTTGAATATTTTCGGACTCTTCAATTTCGCTTTCTGAATCATGAGCACTATCAATAGCGGTATCGTTTACCGTTTCGTCTTCCGAATCCGAACCAGCTACATCTTGCTCTTCATCGGACACTACCTCCAGCCATTGCAATATTTGTCTTTCGTTAGACATTACAAATCAGTAAAAAACTGAAAAAAGGTAAAAGGATCAAAATAAACTCAAAAATACATAAAGCAATTACGCAGTATAGAAATACACACATACAAAGAAAAATAATACACAATATCCTAATATAAACTAAAAGAAAACACAAAAGTAAAAATTAACATCCGCCAAAAAATGTAACGTAACTGGTCGCATGGGGTCAGCGCTCTAGAGAGCAGCGATACGTGCGCACGTGTTGATGTTCTGGACGCGACTAATTTGCGTACCCCGCGGGGAGTGAGGAAGCTAGAAAAAGCGTGAGCGCGCGGTAAGCACTGTAAAACATTTTTTTTTCAATTTAAAGTGGCCCTGACCCCATGCGCCTAATTAAGGGTTAAAGTCAAATTGCGCCCGGTACTGTGACTATTGTACGACTGATTGACGTGTGCGTATTTATAATAACGGTATAATGAAATACTATGGGCAATTTATATAATATTGTAATGTTACAAAGACAATTTCTATTACAATTTTATATTGCGTCGCGAGCCCTTGAGGAACATTCCAGAACGCTTGGCGTTATCGGACCACACGAGTGTGACTTCCGTTTATATTTGGCGGTTCGGAGAAATGAAATGATCTAAGATTTTGGCCGTGGGACCACGTTGATTTCAAGGAAGGAATGTGTCATATTAACAATCTTAGTTTAGTCGCCAGAAGATAGTCTATCTAATAACAGTAACAAAGACCGTTACTGCGTTCGATCAGGGTGTTCCAGAATGCAATACGCATTATCGATACACATCCGGTCGGTGAGAACTACAAAAGAAATTTTGAAAAATATTCCTGTTCGGAACGTAACATAATAAATAAACAATATATAATAAATATAACGAACGCTAACAAAACGATTTTCAATAATATAGATATTAAATAATACGAAATAACACTGTACAACAGCCAACTGATTTCGTAACGGCTACTATGAAATTGTAACGACTCTGGCACCTAGATTCAGATAGTTACTAGCGCTAGTAAGGTAAAGAGCGGCTTTTACCAACTGAACGATTCGTTTTGGAAAATAACTAAA